GGGGGGGGGAGAGGCCGCTCGGCGGGCCGGGGCCGCCCTCGGAGGGGATCCCCCAGCCCCGGCCGCCCTCGGAGGGGAACCCTCGGGCGGGGGGCGCGGGTGGTGCCGTTCGGGCCGGGCTGGGAGCGGCTCCGGGGGGATCGGGGCGGTAGGCGCTGGCTGTGCCCGGGAATGCCGGACAGTCGGTTCTCCCCCCAGGGAAGCGCCCTGGAGGTGTTGTGGGTGCGCCGAGGGGCAGCCGGAGCCTCGCAGGGGCTCGTGTTGTATCCAGCTGTGGGATGGGGAAGGGGCAGGGCCTGCGTGGCCCAGGAGGGCAGTCCTTCTGTTCCTGAAGGGAAGCGACAAGAAAGACCGAGAGGGAGTTTTTACAAGAGCCTGGAGTGACAGGACAGGGGGGAACGGGTTCAGACTGAAATAGGGCAGGGTTTAGTTGGAATATCGGGAAGGAATTGTTCCCTGTGAGGGTGGGGAGGCCCTGGCACAGGTTGCCCAGAGAAGCTGTGGCTGCCCCTGGATCCCTGGAAGTGTCCAAGGCCAGGTTGGACAGGGCTTGGAGCAACCTGGGACAGTGGAAGGTGTCCCTGCCCATGGCAGGGGTGGGATGGGATGAGCTTTAAGGTCCCAGCACAAACCATTCCATGATCCCGTATCCTTTCCCAGGCAGCTGCAGGGATGAGGTGCCAGCTGTGCCCTGGCAGGGCTCTCTGTGTCAGGTGCCAACCTCCTCGCCTGCTCCTCTCCGTGGACTTGTGACGGGTTTCATCAAACCCAGGGCACCGCTTCCATCAGGGGAAGCAGCACACAGGTAAATTGGGCTTCATCCCCTGCTGAGATTCCTGCCTGGCCCTTTGTGCAGTCCCTGGGCTCTGGGGGGACTCGCTCACCTCCACCTCCCCTGGCTCAAAAAGACAGGGCCCTACAAATCCCTGAGAGTTGTTGGAAAGATTTGATACTTGGTATCAAAGATGAGAGTTGCTGAAAAACTCTGTTTTACCAAAATGCTTTGCGGTGCAGGATAGAGATGAAGCTTCACCTGTGTCTGTGGATAAACTGCCGTGAATGTGGGTGACAACTAAGCAGGAATTCTGTTGGGAGAGTGAAAGGAAAAGGTCCAGCTGGATCCAGCTTCAGGTAAAAATTATAACTTACAGTACAGTGCCAGTGGTGTTCTGCAGCAGGGTAATATTTTTGAGATGGTTTAGGGCCTCATTATGATTTAGCTGTTGGAACCATCAAATTTTGGGTTTGGGTGTGCCACAGGCAAGATATTCATTGTTCTGTGGCTCTGATTCCTACATGAGGGAACTTACTGCATACAGTTAACATCCTAAACCTTTACAAGACATTTAGGACTTGGGGATGAGGGTGAATTTTATTTTAGCTCTGTTTTAAATTCTCCTTTCCAGGTGTGACCAAAGGTGACCCCTGGGCTGAGGCTGCAGGAAGGTTTGGGCTGGAATTTGTTTTCGTGGAACGGGTGAAGACCTTTGGAAAAGAACTTTTGTCAAGGAAACAAACTGTGTATAAGTATATACTCAAACAGGGAGTTTCTGAGAGTGCAGACAGGCTCTTCCCTTTGTTTTCTCAGAAGGAAACAAAGCTCTAATTATTTAAAGTTGTGTAAAATGCCCCCCTACGAACTGTTGGGGGGAATTTATTCCAAGTTCAAAGTCAAAATTAAGTCTTGAAAGCTTGTTGGTTGTCCCTCTGCCCTTTTCATGTGCACGTTGCTGGGGAGTCTGGGAACTAAAAATAAATGGAAATGTTTTGCAGGATAGATATCCGAGTATCTTATCAAACTGGAAATAAATTTTAAGTAACATTTTTGCAGAGTACAGTTTTTTCTTAACAAAAAAACCCCCGAAATCTGGTCACTGGGCCGATCATACTTTTAGGATTTAAAAAAGAAAGTCAAACAGCTTTAAAAATGGATGTGGTTGTGTCACTGAAATTTAAGGGTTTTGTTGTCCACGTGCTGACACAGTGGGTGTGGAATCCCTCCTGGAATCCTTAAAGGAGTGGAGCAGGAAAAGCTGTCTGAGCCCTGCTTACTGTGCTGGGAGCTGCTCTGTGGCATCCCTGGAAGATTAAAATATTCTCCATTTCTCACTGTGCTCTCTGGGTTTTAAGGCTGAAGTACAAAGACATGCACGTTGTGAGTAATCAGTTCATGTTGCATTTTTGGACACAGTTCACATATTCCTCCAATTTCTTCATTGCTCAGAGTAATTTGTTGTTAATTATGTGAAAAGGAAGTTCCACACATGGTTTAATATTAAATATTAAAACTCTTTAGAGGAACTCTTGAGGCCTGGCTGAGCCTGAAGTGCATTTTCATGTGCTGCTGTGTTTTCATCTCTCAGTTCTTTCCTGATCCAGCTTTAAAAACCATTTAAATAACAACATTTTGGGCAATCCCTTGATTTCACCCCCAGTTTGTGTTTTCCTGTGGATCATTCACTTGCTTTTGGTTTTGGTTTTTTTTTTTCCCTGTTTGTTTTTTTAACAGGAATTGTTTGGTTGTTGGTTTTTTTTCTCAGTTTTTAAACAGGAAGTTTGTTGGGTTTATTTCTTGTTTGTTTTATTTCTTGTTTTTATTTTTTTTTTGTTGGTTTTGAGCAGGAATTGTTTGGGGTTTTTTTTCTGTTGTTGACAGGAATCCTCGGAGGCTTTTTCCCCTGTTTGTTTTCCACAGGACTCCTGCAGCCCCACATCACCCTGGTTCCATATGGAGGCTCCTGGACATTAAGATACTCATCCCATGTGGAATCCTCCTGGATTCTGTGTGTGTAAAATCCCTGGATTGCTGAGCATTTGCTGGAAGGAGCTGCTGGTTGTTTTTTTTGTGCCTTATAATACCCCTTTGTGGCTCAGTGGGGTCCTGTTTGTCCCTGCTGCCTCCACACAATACATTCCTTCATGTTTGGGGCAACATCTTCCTCATTCCCTGCTTTGTATGCAAATCTGGGAATGGCACAGGGAAAAGTCCCTTCTTAAACCCTCCCTCTTCCCTCTCCCCTCAGCAGAACAGGAAGATGGTCAGTAAGGAGAATTTAGACCAGTGTTAATCACTGGGATCCAGGAATTCTGTGGCAAAGGGACAAAAATGAGCACTGGGAAACGATACAATTTTTTTACAGCACCAGTTTGTGCTCTGAGATCCTTAAAATCTGTTCTGAGCAGCATTTCAGGTGGGAAGTCGATGTTCAACCAGGAAACTCGGACAAGAAGTGAAGAAAAGGGGATTTAAAGCCACGTGTGCAAGGGGAAGGAGCTGCTTGAAGGTAGAAAACGGGGAGAAGAAGAGAGAAATAATTCTGGGATGTCTCAAAAACCACCTTTTTTCCCCCAGAGTGGAGTATAGGTGTTATTTCCCTTTTTTTTTCTACTCTCTGTTAAATATATTTTATGTTTCCTTCCAAGACTTGTTAAGATGAAGTTTGAATATTACTTGTTTCGTAACAACATTCAGCATTTTTTTACTGCTGTTGCTTGTCCTGCCCATGATCAACTTAAAAACTTTGATAAAATCTCATTAAAGACAAAAAAAATTTAGGGATTAGCTCAACTGCTGGATAAATCTTCAGGATAATTTGGGGGAAAACGTGTGTAAAACATGAAAGAGAAGAAAAAAAAATAGCACAACTTGGGAGTGAAAGGAGCAGCTGATGCAGCTTTACTGACTGGTTTGTAGGGAATCAAAATGAAAGAACTTGTTGGACCTGTGAGAGGGTGGAAAATCAGGTTTTTTGGGGGTTTTTTTAGGCCCGTCATAAATCTGCGAGTGTGTCAGCACCGAAGGAGGAAAAGAACTTCAGGGATCCCGATAAAATTCCTGAAAAAAGAGGGTAAGCTCAGCAGAATAAAGCCCAGAATCAGAGGTAGGAATGAAAAAAGTCGTTTTTTAGGACAAAATCAGACAGTTACAGACAAATTAAAAGCTCCAACCGTGTGTTGGTGTGTTTTGTGGCTGAGGTGGAAAACAGGCGGATACAGGAACGGTGTCGAAACTCAGGTGTAGAAAGTGAAGTTTATTGCGGGGAGTTTGCAGGGCTGGCTGAGCAGCTGTTTCTGAAGAGGACAAGAGACACTTGGAAGATGAATTAAAGCAGGAAATTTGGGAATTCTGTGGCGTTGGGATAAACCCGGAGGTGTTTAGTTGGTTTTTACGGCGGTTTCCCCGAGCGACGTGAAGCGACCGGAACGCGAGGGCAGGTTTTCCTTTCAGGAATCTTTACCCCCCTGTGCTCTTTGCCAGGGAAAACCAAACAGGGTTTGGTTGTGGGTTTTCCCCTTTGCAGGTTGGGATGCAGCAGAAGGAATTCCGAGCTCTGGGACCCCCCGGAGCAGCGGGAAGAGCTCCTTGCCCGGCGCGTGCGGCACCGGATGCGGGAGCTTCCAAGTGGGCCAGTTGGAGCGGAGGAGATGAAAGTGAGGACAGCTCTTGGGCAGGGATTTCCAGAGGAATGTGATTCATGGGATAGCTCCTGGGGTAATTAGGGCTGCAGCTGCTGTGGGAACCTCTGCCAGGACTAAAAAAGTCCCTGGTGGCCAGAGGAGGGTCAGGGGAAAGGTGGGAGGAATGTCGGGGTCACCTCCGGGCACTGCCAGCTCCACCCCGGGCACAGGCACAGATCCCGCTCCCAGGATCCCCTCAGCTGGCCAGGCTGGGAGAATCTTGGGAATCCCAGGTGGGTTTGTGTCCTCTGTAAACACCAGTGAACGGCAGGGATGTAAAGGGACTGAGGTACTGGGATAAATCCCACGGAATTCCAACAACAACCCAGCCCTCCAACACAAACACCTTTTATTTGTGCACCTCATTCCACAGGGTTTTGTTTCAGGAATCGTTTCTTTCAGTCCTATAATAAATAGGACTTTTCAACCTCTTTGATAATACTTTGGTATTCCTTAATTTTAGGTCACAATTTTCATCTGTTGATATTTGTTTCCAGTTATGTTGAAGGGAGCATTTTAGATTTCATCCAAAATGAGTGAAGAGCTCTTTAAAAATCTGGGGGGAGAAGGGATAAGGAATATCCTGCTTCCTTTTAATATACATTTCTAGTTTAAATCTTTTACTGAGGCCTTGTGAAATACTAACCCCAAACTATTGTTTTCTCTCACTAATGTGCCATCAAACCTCACTTTTTTAGCACTCCAAGTGCAAATTCCAGCTCTTGTTGGCTGCAGTGGATTCCTACCCACTGAAATTCAGGCAAAAAGTCCTACACCAGTCCTACCACAGGATTAACTTTACTAGAGGAAAGCAGGGTGAAAACTGATTATTTTAAAACATTTAAATAATTTTTTTAAGTCAATAAAAAATAGTTCTAAAATGAAGCAGGTTTAAAAATGCTCAGCTCATGCCAGAGTGTTTTTCCTCAACAATTGGGTCCTCACGGTCTCCAAAGTAGGTTAATAAATAGAGTTTAATAATCCTTTAGTTTCTCTGTGACTTCATTTTCCTGCTTAACACGAAGGTCTGAGGTGTTGAACATCCAGTGTTTTTTTTTCCTGGATGCACAAATAATAGGATATGAAATTCCTGTTGTATCCAGCACCCCGAGAGAGGATTTTGGCAACGGATTGGTGATGGGAGTGTTGGTGGGATCATTCAGAACGTTGGGTAAAGTCTGTGAGATGCAGGACTGGGAGGGTATTTGTGCCCATTTCAGGTGAGAAGGTTGAGGTGAGTGATGAATTCACCACATGGGACACCTGGAGTGGCCAGAGCTTGGAATTCCTGACGGCAGAGTTGCCTTTCCTGCTCCCCCTGAGGGATTTGGTGCTCCTTGGACACTCAGTCTGCAGATGTGTGGGGTCTGCTGCCACTCTGAAGCCCAATTATAGAAAGAAATGCAGCTTTTTTCAAGACATGGAGGAATAAAAGGCAAAATAAATTGCAAATTGAAGGTAAAATATGCAGATACTTGATCAGAGACAAGATGAAGGGAGAAGGAAGTAAGTTGTGTGGCACAGAGGTTTTGATCAAACCCCAATTAATTTGAAAGCAGAGTTCATGGTGCTGTTTTCATTGGTTTTTTCAGCTCCACTTCTGCTCTGGGAGCAAAGAGGAACCAGGAAGTTTGAGCAGAAGCTGCTGGGAAACATCAGCCCTGAGATGTGGCATTTAATTCAGACGTAATTAAATAAATCTCTTCTGGAAATAATCAGGGAATGCTGCTCCTCCTGTGGTGTCAACATGGTGTTTTCCCTCCCAGGTGGGTTTGGAGCTTCTGGGTGGCAAAAGCAGGAGTTTTGCAGATGTAATTCCAGAACGTTCCATGTCTGCTAACAGAGGTGGCTGCAGGAGTGAGGGAGGACTTGGATAAAGAGAGAGGGACAGGGATTTTGGACAAGGGCTTGGAGAGGCAGGACAAGAGGAAATGGTTTCCCACTGCCAGAGGACAGGGTTAGGTGGGATAGTGGGAAGGAATTGTTGGCTGTGAGGGTGAGGAGGCCCTGGAATAGAATTCCCAGAGAAGCCGTGGCTGCCCCATCCCTGGAAGTGTCCAAGGCCAGGTTGGAGCAAGCTGGGCTATGGGAAGGTGTCCCTGCCCATGGCAGGAGGTGGAATTATCATCTTTAAGGTCCCTCCCGGCCCAAACCATTCTTGGATAAGTACCATTCATTTTTCCTTCATTTGTGGGGTGGGTGTCTCTCACCTCCTTATGGAATGGGATCCATGTACCCCTGGGAAAGGGAGGCCTTGCTGAGCCCCAGCTCCCAGTGCTGCTCCAGGGGAACACATCCCACAGTTGTTATTCCCTGGGTTCCAGCCAGATCATTTGTTGTCCCTGCCCTCTCGCACTTCCCATTCCCAAAGGAATTTTTCAGGCTTTGCCTGGCAGAGGGAGCTGTGCAGACCAGGAGGGAGCAGCTGAGATCCAACAGTTCCAGCAGAGCAGTTGAGGTGCCACAGCTGAGTTCTGGGAGCTGAACTAAACACTGGGCTCTGATCGTGGGGGAGCATCCAAAGGATGCTGGGATTGGCATGTTCCAGCCTCCAGAAAGAGGGAAGGGTTTGGGAATTCGCTGGGGTCACCCCACGTCACTGCTGGAGGGTTGTGTGGTGCTGCAGGTGAGAATGGGCTCCTGGAAAAATGGGAAGTGTTGGTGTTTTCTGTGGGCAAGGCTGGTGGGTGTTGGGAACCAGTGACAGCGCCCAGGGAATGGCTGGAGCTGTGCCAGGACAGGGTCAGGTTGGATCTCAGGAAAAGGTTCTTTCCCCAGAGGGTGGTTGGCACTGACCAGGCTCCCCAGGGCAGTGGGCACAGCCCCAAGGCTGCCAGAGCTCAGGGGG